GCAGGACCATGCACGTTAGCAAACTCTTGCCAAGGCTGTAGTTAGTGGACATTCACGGTGTAAGGGCAGTTCTCTGTGCGCCAGGCAGAGTATCTCTACACCTAGCGGCACGTGCGGTATGGACCTACTCTGCACTGCTCTGAGGACACTGGTGTGGCAGTGCAAAGGGGACAGATGCTGCTCGGACTGGGATGTAAATCCTCCCTTTCTGCGCGAGCCTTCCAAGTTTCCCAGCCAACCCTGTCTCCTGCCCAGAAAATCCACCCGCCTTCCACTCGCGAAGACAAACCTGGGAGGGCTGTGAACCAAAGTCCAGCCTGACCCCGCCATGCTGGCTGCCCTCTTGAACCCTCCCCACACCCCACACGCGCTTTGGCAGTGGGAATGCCGCTCCAAGAGCGGATCTTCCCCCTCATCCACCAGCCTTGGCAGAGCAGATGCCCTACGGGCTTGGTCACCCTGCCCTGCCGTAACTTTCCTTCTGGTTGAAACACAAAACCACTTTCCCACTCCTCAGCGAAAGCCGTACGCTTGGCCAGAACCTCCCCGTGCCTCTGTGCCCCGACTCTGCTCAGCCCCGGGGGATGCAACTCCAATCCCTACATGTGCTGAGGATGCACATATGGCAGCCCCCTCCCCTCTCCACTTCCACCTAAGCCCGACCTCCTAACAACCTCCACACGGCACAATGCGACCGGCCCAAGAGTGCCAGAAGGCATCCAGGTGCTGCAGCCTGATGCTTCACACCCGCAGCCAGGCAAATTTGCTGGGATTTCCGGGAAGTGTCTCTAGGGTGCCCCGCGCTGCTGCACCCCCACTTTGGTGCGCGCTTGTTTGGAATGCGGGGCCGTCGGGGGGGGCGAGAGGGGAAGTTATTCTGGTGGTGGCCTATGAATAACATCCAGTGATTTATAGGAAGTATAATCCAATAATACAGTAAAATAAAACAGTGTGTCTGAGATGGGTTTGATTCCAGGAATTATAAAACAAATTATTAAAGAGAGAGAGAGAGAGAGAAAGAAAAAAAAGCCTCAGAGAGGCCAGATCGGAGTAAATTGGGCACAGATGGGCTGGGAGGGGGTTTCTCTCTCTCCCCTCACCGAGATGCCCCTGCCGCAAGCACGGCTTCAATTAGTCTTTTCAGAAACCAGAGTTTTATTTCCCCAAATTACAGAATTAAAAAAAAATTAAAATTCTTGGAGTGTTTGTGGTTGGGATAAAGGGATCCAAGCTTCTCTGTAAGTTCGTTGTGCAGATGGCTACCAAACTGTTAAACAGGCCACCCTACAAAGGTCCCGCCCCAGCCGGAGCCCAGGATGGCCCAAAACATTGGTAGTCACCTACCTCCCGTGATGGAAAGCTCCAGCCACTGCTTGTCTCTGCCCTGTAGAGTGCCTGTCTCTCTCTGCCTCCCTCCCCTGGGTGGGCCCACCTTGCCCCATGGGTTTGAGGTCTACAACAAGCTTTTTCACACCTTGAAGGCTCCTGACAGGAGGCAGCCAGGAGGTCAGAGGGACCCTTGCTGGCCCCACGCCTGCCCGGACAATGGGGAGAGCGGCTCACTCCGAGGAACACGCCGGTTGATGCCGAACCGCGGGGGAAGCGCTTCGTGTGGGAATTCTTTGGCTTCCTCTGTCAGAGAAAACAACAGACCCAATCATCCACCTCCCAGGGTCTTCCCAGCGCTGCCCAGCTGCACAGGCAGCTGAGACCAGCTCCGGTGCGCCTGGTGCTGCCCCTGGGGGACAAGCACAGCTCAGCCGCCTGCACTGGGCACAGGCTGCGGGGCTCTGCCCGCACTCACCTGAGCACACGCTGCAAGGGCTGGGTAGCCGTGCGCCGCAGCGGTGACCTGTGTGGGAGGAGGCTGCGAAACGCCACGTGCTGCTCACAGCTGGCGGGCTCTGAAACCAGTTTAAACACCCCAGTGCACTCCAAAAAGTCACCCTGTCAGAAGTGCACACGGTGACCTCGCACAGACCGAGTTACAGAAGAGTGGCAGCCGCTAGGAGCCAGAGATGCACAGGAGGAAACATCACAACTGCCATATGGGGGACACATGCTGGGGCAGGGACACCTGGAGGGATCGTGGCTGACCCACACCACAGCAAAAGAAAATGAGTAAAAGGCAAAGAGCAGCAGATATAAACTGTCAACGGACAAGACCCCAACCTCCTGTGCTGCCTGTTGCCTCACTGAAGGAATTGGGACAGAACGAGCATAATCTACAACAAAAAAGGGGGAAGCTGAGCCTGAGATAGGGCAGGATAGGTGTTTGCTGTAAGCCCGAGGAAGAGGGAGGAAAGGTGTTTATTACAGCATTTGATTGTTCAAGCTTCCTTTTTCTCAATACCTGAATCTGTGATTAAAAGCTTGTGTTCACGAGCGTAAAATTTTGTGCAAGTTCCCCATGTCAAGATTGTTTTGCTGGCGACGCCGCCCTACAACTGCCAGCACCACTGGATCCCAGCACGAGGGATTCATTAGACACCAGACACGGGGCAAGCAAGCAAGTTTACAAGTTTCTCAGGAATAGCTGGGGCTCCAGAGACCTGGAAATACATAGCGGGGGGTGGGGAGGGAGCAGCTATCCCCAGAGAGAACTACCCCCGGACAGCAGGGAAGAAAGGCTCTCAGACAGACCTCCCTCCCTGGCCCCAAACCCACAGATCTCCTCCCGCTACTGAGAGCTCGCCGCTGAAGGTCAGACAGGCCCATGCGATGGGAAGGACACAGACACGCTCTGATCCCAGATTTGTAGAAGGATTTCAGTAGGAGGAGATCTCTGGAGGTCGCTCGGTCCAACTGCAGAGTTAGATCCAGCTCTCCAAAGCTGATGCAGCCAAGCTCTGACTACAGCGAGCCCAGCTTGCGGCTCCTCAGTAACGCTTCCTGGCAATGGGGATGCAGGCAGGGTGGGACTGCTCCCTGCACCCCCTCAGCCTCCCCCATGCCCACAGGGGCGGATCAGCCCTCTTTGCCTCTGCCCATGCTACTGCAACCCAGGGAGGTGACTCATGTGCTGGGAAATGGAAACCCGCACCTTCCCGACAGCCGTTCCTGCCGTATGCTCCAGCCAGTCCTCTGCCCACAGCAGCCCACATGCCGGGGAAGGAGCCAACACCCTCACTCTGTGCTGGGCACTGGTAATAATTCAGCAAACATTCTTGCTTGCCTTTTAAACTCCAGGCCCTTTGCCTTTTTTTTTTTTTTTTTTTTTCTTTTCACCCCCCTTCTGCACCCAGCTCTTCTCAATATCACAGCGTCGGCACCAAGCCCAACCCGGGCTGTGCCAGCACTCAGCACACAAGTGCTCGGAGACCACCAGGGCACTTGCGCTGACAACAGGATTTGCTTTGCCAACAATATTCGCAGGGAAATTTTAGGGTCACCAGAGCAAGGAGCCCTCAGGGAAATCCCCGAAGAGCGCTAGGCATCAGATGGCAGCCGCGGTGCCATCCGACCTGCAGGCGTTTCAGGAACACTGCCACCTGCTCTGCGCACAAGCCTGCAGTCCCCAGCAGGAACAGGTTCGCTTTCTCCAGAGATCCGAAAGCTGGGAGCAGCTGGCAGCTACCCATGCAAGAGGCAGAAAACTCCGAGAATACTTATTTTTCACAGGAGATAAAAAGCGCTCCCTTTCT